TGATTGGCATGCGTGAAATACTCAAAAAATTCGCCAATGTGTCCGTCAACGATGTGGTGGGTATGCGTGCGCCGTTCTTAAAACCCGGACGCAATACACAATACAAGGTGAGCAATTGTGGCAGGGGGCTGGTGTATGCGCTGCCCACTGTGCGTACATATTGCGGGTATGTACATACTTGTAAATATTACCTGATTACTTTTGCGCAATGCAGTTGGCAGTTACGCGTCCTCTAGCAATATAATGAATTTTCAGATCCCTGATAGGTAATTTGGCATAAATAGTACAAGGAGTTAATTGACAGTTTTATTTTGTTGTGATGTTTTAGACAATTACCACAGGCAGTAAGCCGATTTTTTATACAACATTTGCATAAATTGTAAGTAATATGTATTTCGAGGGATTATGAGGTTAAATTGTATCGTATGCATAAATAAATTAATTACTCAGATCATGAATGGACATCGCTTGACTGAATATGTACGCACAGATAGAAGCTGGCATGTGTTTTCTTTCAAGTAAAGAAAATGTTATGTTACGCTATAGACGTACACAAAAACTTTGCAAAACTACTTACTACAAAATACATATGTGCATACATACGCTTATAGACATAGCTAAAAATGCTCACCGAATTTCCTAACAGAAACCGTAATTATTTCAACTAGTTGTCTATGTATAAATTTTAAAAGTTTATAACCATGAAACACATTTTCTTTGTTATTCAATTCCCTGTGTGCAATTCCATTTGCCTTATGCGTCTCATTTCTGTTTAGCCTGTTTGCTAATATTTTCGCTAGAAAATTATGTTAGTGAATAGATTGCTAATGCAAATGTGTAGTACATTGAATTGTCCGTAGCACATTTTTTGAGATGACAGGGATTTGAAAAAATGTAAACTAGCTGTTACGGCTGGGGGCAGTAAAAGTGTATGCGCCTACATTTGCCTACGTATACAATACATATAACCAGGCATAACTGTTATTCATAGTATCCCCTTTGGAGGTAGCCGTACTCTACCCATGTATTTAAATATGTATGTATGTATTTCGGTGCGGAAGAGAAAATAAATGTTACATACATACATACATCGGAGAATTGCATCAAATGGATTTTTAAGTGCTCGGGTGGCACTTTTCAGCAATCACTTTTCAACAACTATTTTTACACTGGAATTTGAAAAAAAAAACGAGTAGGAAAATTATATATTGCCATCAAGGAAGTCTGTTGTTATAAATCATAAAACAAGATATACCAACGCTCAATATATAATCATACATCTGATAATTTTTAGGTTAGGCCGGGGCGAATCGGGAGGGTAATTGTTGTTTTATATATATTTTTTTTATTATTAAGTTCCTTCTTTATTTATATACCTGTCCTTATGTTAGGACACCAACTATACTATCTTACAATTTGTTAGGAAATTTACACACAAAAAAACACAATTTAGCCAGCACTAAGAAAGTGTTGGGTTAGCTATTCACATTTAATGCATATTTGTTCTCTTTTTGTTTTAGTAGGCACATACAATATTTAAAACGCATTTACAATGACTATTTACAGTTACAATGAACATATATCACACTAGGGCGATTGGCCTCGCTCTTTTCAGCCGTCTTCCATACTTTCTCTTTGATCGGGCTAAGACCTTCACTTCTTCTTCATTCTCGTGTTATTTTCGCAATTTTGCAAAGTCCAAATTGATTTTAGATCCATAGTTTCTTCGGCAAGTTTACTTGGAATTCCACGTAGAATCCTTTTGTGCTATACGCGCATAGTGGGAAAAATCTCCCATGCAAATTGTCCCGCCCTAATGCACATATATAAATAGGTTTTTGCATTTTTTACCTAAAAGGTAACGGTTTATGGAAAAATTTGCACAACTTGAATATTAAATTTTTCATATCTGATGAAATTTGAGCTATAAAAGTGGACCAGATACAGTCAGGTGATTGCTGTTTGTGCAATAAACACACCTCACAGTCAAAGTTAAACATACCCAACAGGGTTGCATGACAAAATGAATTCAATTAGCACTCGATGAAGCACTAATCGGACACTTAAAGATTTCAATGTTTGTATGGAAAATGGATCTCGATTAGTACCTTAATCGAGAAAATTTAGCTAACCGCCTGTCTGAACTTAGTACAAGAAAATATATAAATACGATTAGGGCAGCCGAAATATTCGAACCTATCTGTACTTGGAGTATCTGTTTTAAAGATTTAGATAAAAACGTATCTATTTATAGCGGCGGCCATGGCCTAGTGGTTACCGAGAGCAGCCAGGTTCGATTCCTGGTCCAACATCTAAATAACTTTTCTATTATGAGCGATAATCCTTCCTGCGGCATAAAATTGAAGGTTCCTCTACGTCAAAGTTCTTAAATAAAATTGCTACTGACATATCGAACGCATTGGTATAAAACCAGGAGAATATAACTGAATATCATGGCAATTTAGAGACGTGTACCTCCTCAAACGGGGAAAGCGTAACATTCTTATGCAACTGCATAAACTTGCAAGCTCTTAGTTGCTGATTATTGTGCATTTGCGTCAAATGCCTTTAATTGAATTAAGTTCCATATGCAATGATTGCAATCAACTTTCCAGCTCGCTGCATTGCAAATATGCACTCTGTATGCACTACTGCTGCATACAAAATTCAACAAGCAAAAAAATTAAATAAATAAACTACCGTACACACAACACACCACCATTAGGGGAGGGTACTTTAGTGTTGTTGAGTGGTAAAATCTGTGCCTGTGTACTTGAAATTGTTGCACATGAGCAGCTTCGAGCATTACAACCAATTACCTGTAAACAGGACCATTAAACTGGCAACAACAACAATAAAAATAACCATAACAGCAACCAAACTGCTGTCAAACCACACCACCGTGCGTACAAACACATCTGTAGCGGAGACAAGAGCAGCAAAGCCATTTTCATGTTCATGGTCACATTTATTCTTGTTTCAAGTTTTCTATGCTTGTCTTCTACAGCATTTACACCCACGTTTAACATTTTTATTGTTATTATATGCAATGCATTAAAACTTTGAACACAGCATCAGACTATGTACATATGTAGTATATACTATTTGTACGTTTTTATATGTACATATGTATGTATGCATATGTCCCTATATTGAATTCTATTAACCCTTTTGAATTTATCTTAAATTTTTTTGTTTTTTTTTTATTTTCATGACATAACCACAAACTATGGTCGAACGTACATCAATATGTGCATACACACGTGCATACACATTACATTAACAACGCCAACAACTGTATATACGTACGTACATATGCCTGCATTTGGTGCTGCGCCATGCTGTCTACACAGGTTATCGAAGACTTCGGTTACATCTATGACAGTTCGATTACCGTGCCACCAGTCAATGTACCCATCTGGCCATACACGCTCGACTTTAAAATCTCACATGAATGCAAGAGCGGCACGTGTCCGTCGAAGAGCTTCCCCGGCGTTTGGGAGGTGCCACTCAACACTCACTATGTCGAAGGTTATGAAGGCGGTCACTGTCCCTATCTGGATCAATGTGTGCTACACAATTTGGACGAGGAAGAGATATTCGCTTGGCTGCAAGAGGACTTCACACGTTACTATGAACAGAACAAGGCACCCTACATGATGCCAGTCCATACGAATTGGTTCCAGACGAAGCCACTGGAAAATGGCCTGCATAAATTCCTTGATTGGGCACTTGAACTGTAAGTACCTGGGGGTCGTATATATGTCTACATACATATGTATGTATGTATATTTTTTGTTCTCATGCACACATTCATACATACATATATTCTGAGAGTATTTAAAATGTAAACTGTGTGCAAAAAGTGGATAGGGCGGAAGTTCAACTAAATGTGAATAAACGTTTATTGAGCAGCATGAAGAGTTTATTAGATATTTTATAGAAATTTAATATTAATTGGAATTGCTTTAATCGGCTGCTAAAATGTTTGAGTAAATAAGCATTGTGTTTTTATTATTAGAGTAAAATTAATTTTGATAACGAGCACGAGTGTACATTTTTTGACACAACAAGCAGTTTTCTTCGAATTTTCGAGTTTCGCATTTGCCTTTGAGAAGAATCTTTTGTTTTAACAAGTTATTTTTAAGCAAAACACAAAACCGACTTCAATTCTTATATACAAATTTAAGATAATCATTAATTTCTTCATGATCCAATGATCGGATTTAAACCAAATAAGTATGGGACCAGCTGTGAGGTAACAGCTTTTCTTAAAAAAAAAAAAACAACAATATTTCGTTGAAATAGTATAGAATTCTTGAAAATTAATATTTTTCGATTATGACAAACTGATTCCTGAAGTCTCGTTTTGAAAAAGATACGTCGATATCTTTGCTACAATGTAGTAGCACAAGTATCACACACTCTGTTGGGGAGCTCGGTGAAATCTGTCTATACGGACGGCTGCAAAACTGAAAAGAGAATTGGAGCTGGGCAGCTGGACTTTACTACTCGCACCTTTTAAAAATAGTACACGAACGTATGTACATAGTATGTATATTGAGGCTAAACTTCGATGCAAGGTGGAATGAGCTTAAATTTGTGGAACAGAGTCAATTTTAAGGCAAGCATAGCGGGAACAGGCGAATACATCAAGGATCTCATTAATATAGCTCATGAGAGCCATTGGTTGGTACAGTACTCTAAATTTCAAAACAACAATTCACTCCTGAACAGGTTCTCACAAAGGGAAATATTGAGCTACGATCCCTGATAAGTGTGATTACGACCCACTGTGTACAACCTATTTGGAAGTTGAGATCATTTGCATGCAGCCGTCCAGCCTTCGTTAATTCAATACCATTTCAGTCCTGTAGAGAAAGAAACATGTTAGATATGGTCTTTCTATTCATATTAAGGTAAAGGTATTTATGTACATTTAAATTATTAAGGATTACTGAAGAATGTTTCCTGTGACTTTTAAATGCAGTAGAAAATTTTAATATAAAGTGATAACTAAGGATCTCCTTAATATACTCGATGACAGTTAAGTCTAAGGTTGATTTTAACAACGTAAATTCATTTTTCTACAGATTACAGATAGAGTGTTTGAATATTAGCCGTCGATATATTTTATGCTTTGTTTGGTCTTGCAATTAAAACACATTAACATTAGTTAATGTTAATTACTTAAATCAAGAAATAGTCACTATCCAAACTCACCTTATTCACGGATGTATACAAAAAATGTATAACAGTTACTCAGCTACAATTTTACTTTATTTGTTACCCGCTTACCCTAACGCACGCTTTTATGTACGAGTACAACGCCCTAAGACTGACACAATGTTTTTGCACTCATTCACTTTTTCACCGTTAACCAACAGTGTTTCGCACGTTTTAATGAGAAAAGTTTAACAGAATTAAACTTTCATTTTAAAACAACACAAAAAAAATATAAGTTGATACAAAAAACCTTTACAGTAAACATAGAAAAACGCAACTAACGCAGTGCTGCGAAAAAAAAAAAATTAAATTAGCGCCGATTAGCAAAAAAAAAAACACAAGAGAAAAAAAAAATATCCACACAATTTACCTCGCTAAAGTAATGGATGGACATTACTGAAAGCAGAATGGCCTAAACCGCCGCCATGTAAAAATGGCGTATTGGTGTTTTAAACTTCGGTAATGAAGTTACGCTGATAATATCGCTCTCTGGTGGATGGCAAAGCCGTCGGCACTAAGCATTAGCAGTATTAGGCGGCATTGTTCTTACCGCACTAACTATTTCCACGCCCTGCGAAGTACTACGTATGTGTATGTATGCACATAGGTTCTACAATTTTTGCAATTTTCATTCATTTTCTAACTATGTCAGCGTCAGCATGGCGTTGAAGTAATCATACAGTGGAAGGATAGAAAATCTCTGGAAGTATTTTATTATTATTTGTTATGGAGATTTATTTTATATATGTGCCGTACTGATAGAAAAAATTGTATGTAATGGAAAGGAAGGGGAAGGGAGAGCCGGCTTCGGCCCTATAATCTAAAGCTCTCATGATGCATACAAATCTCTTGAGGCATTTAGCTACAGTACTGAGAAGTGGTATTTTATCAAGGCTAGGTTACTAAATTTGAGTTGAAAATATTAGAACCCGCCCTGGGCATCTCCCAGAAGGTTACACGTTCACACAGCGTATCCGAGGAACCATTTTAAGGTAAACTTAGAGGGATTGATATCTTTCGTATGCCTCATCGTGCAGACGAGATTTTATGATTTCATAGTTTTAAACGGCCTAAGTACCTCNTTTTTTTGTATTTGTATAAAAACTTGGGGGTGAAATCCGCGGGTATAAGCTAGTATGTACATATATCCAATTAGATGTTTACGAGTGGCTACATATTCACTCACACAAAGCCATACACATCAGCGCATTTGGGGTGTACGAAAGAGTTTGCTCAGCTAATATTGTAAATAAACAAAATTGGCTACTCTTTTTGGCCACTTTCTACCAACATAAATAAGTACGATATATGAGAAAAAAGGCAAATGTCCAAGTGTATTTTTGTTGTGTCATAAACACTGAAAACTCACAGTAAAAGTTTTGCCAATTATCGGAAACAGTAACAAACTCGACGAGTCGTCGAAGCGACAATTCGATTGTGACAAATTGCAAAATGGTGACATATGCCTTGTTTGTGTTAGTGTTGCAGACGTTTGATTGTTACATAAATACATACACACATATATACCGTTTGTTACTTTTATCGCGAGATTGACACCATTAACAATAAATAAAGGTGTTGGGCCCAGAGTGGTCGAATAGTCTACAATAAATGTAGAAAGGTGTTTCGAGGAGCCAAATGGTAAAAAACTAAATACAAAGTACTAGAAGAAGAATCGATCGAAATAAAATTTTATGTGTCAATGACATTTGTGTATCGTAAACAAATTAAATGCTTGTCAACAAAAATTTTCCTCAACTTTGCTTCGTAGGCAATACAGCAAACATAAAAACTTTTGCCTTCTGACTTGTTTGTTCGAGTGCCGGTGTCTTGTTGTTACTTGTGCATTGGAGTTGTCACTTTTGTAGTGCATACATATTTACAGCTATTCAATGATGTTCATGAGTTTTGCTCAGCACGTGTACTATCCCGGTGTGAAAATGTAATGTATAGTAATCGAAAAACTAATCAGTAAAACAGTCGTTTTCACATTCGAAAATGCATTTTTTCCCACGGCGATGTCCTACGACAAGTGGGCATTAAATTTTTCATTACCTAGTATCGAGGAATGAACGTGATTTAATATGATTTTTTGGAGACTTTTTGAATACATTAGAATATTAAACAGTAATGTAATCTAGAACACATAAGAAATCACGCATGTAATGCATTACTGCTTTTTCCACTGGGATGTGTTGCGGGTTTGTTGAAATTCGTGCGCTTGTGGGTGAAAATGTCTGTATAGTTTTTTCGACGACCATTGTTGGTCGAAGTTCGATATGCGCTGATATTTTGACAGCAACACTGCGATTTTTGCACCGCATGCCGCTTCAGACAGCTCTGCTTGTTGCGCACAATGTATGCAAGTATTTATGTATGCACTAAACACATAGTAGTGAAAGAACGTACAATTTATTGGAGAGCACTTGAATAAACCTCAATAAGCATTATTTTCTTTATTTTGTTTTTTTTTTCTTTTGCTTTGCCTGGAAAGTGTGGTATAAGAAAACCGCATTGAGGAATGTATTGTCAAAGTTGTCAAGTATTTCACACTTTGTTACAGTTTTGTTTATGTTATAGTAGTTATTGTATTTTGTTATTTGGCACCAACATAACCAGATTAAGATTAAATTACATGTCAATTAGTAAGACGCCTAATACACTGTCTTCAAAGTGCTAACGCAAATAGAGTTTCAACATTACGTTCGTTATAAGACGCTAACTGTGTCTTATATTCAACTTCTTAGAAGGTACATATCTACATATTTACACTCTTGAAAGTATCCAAACCCCAAAAGGCTTTAATTCCGCCTCATTACAATTTTCTTTTACAGTGAATTAAAGTTTACACATTTTGGTCACAAATTCAAATATTTCACATTTCATTATAAACATAACATTTTTGAAGTGAAATTTCTTTAGCAGCGTGTGGTTGGTTGAGAGATTGCGCACGAAAGTTGCAGACGGAAATGGTTGGGACGGAAACAAGTGCTAATAAAAGGTTAAAGAATAACAATTAGATAAAGACCAGCATAAAAATGAAAGTAAAGGTAAGTAAATACGTAGATAAAGAAAAGGATAAAGGCAAAGGTAAAAATAAAAATAAAAATAAAAATAAAAATAAAAACGAAAATGCGCAAAGATAAAGGCAAACATGAGGATCAAGGTTAATTAAAACACTTTACCTATACAAGGACAAAGGTGAAGAGGAATATATGGATGAAGAAAATATAGGTAAAAACAAAAATAAATATTAAGAAAAAAATTAGGAAGAGGATAACGATAACGATAAAAGTAAAGATTAAGATAGAGGAACAAATGTTAAAATAAACGTAATTATAAAGAAAAGGATATACGTAGATAGAGACCCAGAGACTCAATCTGGGAACTATTTCGGGATTTTAGAAATATTCGGTATTCTCGGGACTACTTCGTGATTTTCGAGAATATTCTGGAACTTTTGTTATATTTATCGATATACCCTGCAGGGAGCGACGTTAGCTTTTAACTAACTTTAGTCTGTTTACGCGGACACTACTGTGCTAACTATTAACTGTATATTTTGTTCGAAAAAAGAAAGTGGGACGATGGCAACAAAAAGGTCGGAGCTGGATACCACTGCATTGCATGTCAAATAACTTTTAACTAACTACTTTTGGACATAAAATATCAATAAACACCATTTTGTTATTTTTTACATTTTTATTTATTTAATTTTTTTTCAACATTGCATATTTGTTTATTTGTTTACATATTTCACAGTAGGTGGTTCTATATTCGAATTCCATCAGACATAACAACAAAATGATAACATACAATTTTGAGCTGCATTTTATTTGTCCTGAATAAGAAAAATTATTTGTGAAGTGCAGAAAAAAATTTATTAAAAACAGTTTTTGTATGAGAAATTTTAAAATTAATTGTAAAGAAAACAAACTCCAGATTGCGTCTGCATGACTCCCGCACGACTTTACAACTTACTTAAAGTTCGTTTTGTCGTTGCTAATTAAAAGTGAGGTTTTTATCGAAATCCCGCAAAGAAAGTTGGTTATTTTTAACAATTGATAATTTTTCATTGCAGGGTAGTTATCGATATTGCTTTCGATATTGTTATCGACATAATAATAGATTTTATTATCGATATATTTGTAAATATTTTCATCGATATGATAATCTATTTTGTTATCGATGTAGCAATCGATTTTGTTATCGATATTTTTATCGAATACTTTATCTATTTTGTTATCGATATGTTCATAGATTTTGTTATCTATGTTTTTATCGATTTTTGAAATGAAATATTTAAATACAGGTATCAAGCGAGAGAACTTCAAAAAAAGCTTTATTTTCAAAACAGTTTCAGTGAGGATTGCCAATTGTTTAGAAGTTTTTGTCAATTTAGCTAATAAATTAAATTCAATAGTTAATATGGGTATCAAACAAGAGAGGTTTAGAAAGCTTTATTTCCCAAATATTTTATAAAAAGGGGGCGGGCACATGTGTGTTAAATGAAATATTTTATTATGGAAGGGAAAGGTGTAAGTAAGCTTTATTTATCAAAATTTTTTTTTAAGAGGCTTACAACCATTCCAAAAACTGCAGTTCAGTTTAATGAGAGTTTAAATGCAACATTGCATTACGGGTGTCAAACGAATTAAATTAACGACAGCTAATTTTTGTCGGCCACTGAGGTGTAGTGGTAAGCAGTGCGCGCTTCCATNCTGGGTTCAAGCCCTGGTCAAAGCAACAGCGCAAAAAATATATAAAAAAGGTTTCTCATAAAAATACAATCGCCGTTCGGAGTCGGCGTAAAACTTTAGGTCCCTCCGCTTTGTGTAACAACATCAAGGCGCACGCCACAAATCGGAGGAGAAGCTCGGCCAAACACTAACATATGTGTAAGCGCCAGTCTATTATTATTATTATTATTATTATTATTAATTTTAAACAAATATTTTTGAAGAAGGCTGTAACCTATATGAAAGGCTCAATTTAATTTGATAGCTTAATTAATTGAAACATTTTATATAAGCATCTTATAAATTTACCCAAAATTCTTGTGAAGGTATTTTATAGAAGAGTTGCCCATTTCAAAAATATATGTATGTAAATTTTTTTTTTACTTTTTTGTTATGTCCTGAGATTTAATTTTTATCCCAAAATACCGGTTTCTATTGGAGCGCCATCATTTGTATAGTGTGATTCAATACCGGCGATGTTCACTATAAGGACATTGTTTAATGCGCTGTGTGGCAATTGGCACCTTATTTTTTGAAACCACATATTGCCAATCCCATGTCATCTAATTCAGGCCATAAAAGAACTCCGTTACCGGCACCATTTTCGAAGCAGTGCGGTCCGTTTATTTAGCCAGCCTAGAAACTAGATTAAACAATGGACTCGTTGTAGGTGCATAGTATTTTTCTTGCAGTGGGCTCAGTTTTTCTTGTTAGGGATCCGTTTAGGTGAAAATGTGCCTCATCGATCATGATGAGTTTTTTTTTTGATCGGCATCGACGTTTTCGTCACTTAAACGCTAAGTTTCCCAAAGCCTAGAGTACGAAGTGCCCGAAAACAAAAAACATGCAAGTTAATGTCAAAGTTAAGTTTATTCCATGTATGCAAAGTATGTAGGTATGTACCCGTGTACACAGCTCTCGTTGCAAAATACTTAAAACGTCCTACGCATTTCCTTACAGTTAACGGAAACGTAAACAAAACTAAGCTAAAGTATACCAGCCTTCACACTCAACTTCAGTCAGGGTAAACACCAGCAACAAGAAAATCGCAAAACGTCTCGGTTAGCACTTTTGCTAGCTCTAACTATTTAACCACCATTTAACCCAAAGCATTTTCCAATCAACATAGAAAACCCTATTAAACATAGTAACAAATACTGAGCGGTAAGCGGCCTCCGGTATGTTTTGCTTCATTAATCCTTTTCTGTATTTTTCATGTTTTCCCACCCTCCGCAGCACTTTAAACTTTTTTTCGTGTCTTGGCTGAAAATATTCTTCTGCCAATAGCATGATGGAGCGAAAATACGGAAATGCTACCCATGCATACTTTTACAAACATACTTATGTATGTATGTGTTTACACATTTTCAATTTCCCCCTTCAAAGTCAGCGTTAACTCACTCATCAGCTCCTATGCAGCAGCCATTTTGATGACGGTTAATTTAGTGACGGCAAAGGGGCAGGTGAGGAAGAAAGCTTGACCTAGCTGTTAGATATACTATGTACATACATACATACATATATACATTTTGTTTAAAACTTTTGGAATTTTTAATTAGTGCCAATAATAGCAGCAGCGTAGCAGGAAAGTGGGAAACGCAGCCGTAGGGTGTGAAATCGATATTTTATTGTTGGACGTTGCGTATGAGCAACATTTACCGGGCTGGCGTTGGAGAGTATCAATGGAAGCGGAGCTTTTTTTTTTTGTTCGGTTTCTCTAACTGCATTCGGTTTTGGATTTCTTGTGTTTTTTTGAGTTAGCTTTTGCTTATTTTGTTTGTTGTAAAGTCAAAGTTTGATTTAAATTGAATTTTTCAAAGTTTGTTGTTTGACACCTGTAAGTTGGTCTTCTACACTTAGCACTTCGCGTCACTTCAATAGCTTTAGGTATGTATGTTGCAGAGCTCTTGATCTTTCAAAATGCTTTTGGCAATACTGTTGTCTTCTCTTTGGTAATGCGGGAACCATTACGTTTGCGGGTATGTTTACTTTACAAATACGGCTACAGATACAGATACTGCTGCGAAATCAAATATTTTTAAGAATAGGAATACGGTAAATGTAACGGTTACGGTTCTAGATAAATAATGATGATATCGAAAAATATGAAAATGAGTGCTAATTAATAAAATAAATATTACAATAGGAGTGTCAACCGAAAGAGATTTAAGATCACTGTCTAAAATATTATAGAGAAGGCTGCCACTTGATAAAATAATTAAATTCGAATAATACTATATATGTATATTTTACTTAAATTCGCTTGAAATTTTAAATGGATAGACTCTATATTTTAGTAGTCCAATTATGAAAACGCGCATATCCTCGCGTTCGTTTAGAGACGAAAAAGTTTATATCTAGGAGTTGCCACCTGTAAATAAAATTAAATTCATTTAAGGGAAATTAATCACTTCAATACAAATATGAATCGAAAGCAATTTAATTTTAAAATGCTGCACTTTTGAACTACATGTAGGAGGGTTGCCACCTGTCTAATAAATTAAATCCAACTTGAATTAAGGGAATTAGGAGTTAAGGAATGAAGTAAATATGTATCACAAGATGGGGTCACACGGAATAAGTTAAAGAAAGTTGCGGATTGAAAACATATTAAAGTGGATTGCCAACTGTTTAAAAGTTTAGTTCAATTATTTTAATCAAATAAAGGAATTATTCTTTTGCCACTTGTTTAAAAAGTCAAATTCAAATTGAAATAGAAAAAGTAGGTAATTGAAATATTGGTGAGAAGGTTGTAGTTTGAAAATATTTTTAAAGGGGTTGCCATCTGTTAAAAAAGTCGAATTTAATTCAACACAAGTTAAATGAAATACCTATCAAAATATAGGTGTTTAGAGGTTTTAAAGGGTTGCCACCTAGTTAAAAATCAAACACAATGCAAATTATTTAATATGTTAAATGAATTATTACAATATGGATATCAATCAAAATGTTTTTGAAAAGTCTTTATTTTCCAAGCTATGTACGGGAACTCTTTTAAAAAGTAAAAATCTTCCATACGTTCGACTGAGTTTAAATATATTGCGTTTTATTGAAATAAATTACTTTTTATGTAGCACGCAGAAATTTCATACACTCAGCGAACGGGTGAGAGAAAGCTAATGTTTTTAATATAATTTCCTCAGCTCCGTTATAGGCATATATTTATGTGTCTTTTCGAAGTGGAAATGATTTTGTTTGCAGCACTTTTTCCACAAAACGCCTGAAGTATTTAGCCACGAATGAATTCTACACACATATGTATGTACACGAATACCAAAAGTTCGCTCAGCAATTATAGCAATAAATTACTATTTGTGTAATTTTACTATTTTGCCGCTTTCTTTGTTATATTTTAAAGAAAGAAAATATTTATTTTTATACTTTCACCATACCTGTTTTTTACTAGGTCTTCACTTTCTTGTTTTTTGTTACTTGGTCACCACCATTATTAGTTACTCTAACTTCTATTTACCACAAAACTTTTTATTATACACACATACAAGCGTATTTACCCAACTATTCTACAATTTACAATCTCCCGTCTTTTTTCTTTCACTCTCACTGCAGACCCGATGTCTATATTCTAACCATCACCCAAATGCTGCAATACATGACCGACCCAAAGGAGTTGCGTGACATCAACACCATCGAATCATGGAAGTGCGACAAAAGTGTTGCTGTTGCACCAAAGCCATGCAACATTTGGAATACCTGTGCGCTGCCCTTCAAGATACCCGAACAGAATGTAACGGACACACGCTACATGGAGACTTGCCGCGAATGTCCCAATGTCTATCCATGGTTGGGTGATGCCGGTGGTACTGGCATTTCAGGACGTGACAATTACATTTTCTCTGGGCCAGCGAGCGCTGGCGATGGCGAGGGTGATGATGCTGGCAGTGATGATGAGAATTAGAGCGCAATGGAGGATAGTAGCAGCAGTGCAGTACGTACGTATGTATGTATGTATTTAGGTGGTTGAAAAGGTGCGCTAAGCTAGTGTGTAAGCTGTAATCAACCTAAAAAGTTTTAAGGGTCAGGTGACAAGTGTCAACTGACAGCTGCTGTTAACTGTCAATTGCCAACTACATACATACATACACGAGTGTGAAGTGTTTTGTGTTTACCTTTGTAGTTTTGTGTTTGGTTTTGTTATCTTCTATAGGTATTTTTTAATTTGTTAAATTTTCCATCATTTATTAAATGTGCCAATTAGTGTTTACAAAACAATTTTACTGCTACCCCTGCTTTGATGTCTCAATGCGATAGCTCTTCTTAAACGTAATTTTTTTTTTCAAAATTGTTTTTAATTTAATTTTGTTTTTCAAAATACTCAGCCTTTTGGCTTGTTTTAGTTTATAAGCCATGAAATCGTGTCAATCGTAGACATTAAGCAAATATAAGCAAAATAAATTTCTGTTTTAAATAAGAAACTGACTATGAATGAAAACAGGTGATCTTTATTTACTAGAAAAGCTATGCTGTTTTTTTACTGTAAGTATGTTTTGTTGTTCCAAGTTTCCTGTTTGAATCGTATGGAAAATTTAGGGTCCGCAAAAAAATATAAAAAACCACACGATTTTTTTTTATTTTTTTATTTTAATTATTTGTCTATAAAAATGTAGTATATTCTTTGACAAAACCATATAAATCTTTGTGCAACATTTAAATAAAATCAAAAAAACTTTCGTAAAAATGTTGAGCTTTTTAATTCGATTTTTAAGAAATGTTGCTAGTATGCAGTTGGACGATCTATTTTACTGTTATAAAGTGAAAGTTTCAAGCATCTACAAAATATCGTTGATTTTTGAAAAATTTTTTTTGATGAAGGTGTTGCTCATTTTGTCCATATATCTACTTTTGTATGGACGCAAATGACTGCCATCCTCAACCAAATCAACGGTAGGTCCCAGCAACTTTAAACTTGCACTTTGGTGTACTAGAATCGAATGGGCTACAAAACTGCATACTGAGTTTTTTTATTTCATAAAAAATCTCCACCACCTCATCATAATTATTTTTTTTTTTAACTGTGGGTCAAAATCTTTACTTTTTGTTCAATAATCCATTTATAAAATATGCCATTTTAAGTTTAACACAAATTCGATCAAAAATATTACCTTAGCAGATCTAAAATGGAACATTCAAGCCATTACCTCCTACTAGAGAGCCGTTCTACCCAAGCTGGCCCAATTTTTACAATGGTTAATATTTTCCACAAAAATATATAAAGCTGCAAATTTTACAAGAAGCCACCAAAAACTAAAATATCATGTGTATTAAGGGAGTAGACGAAACACTGAATGTTTCATGAGATTTAATAGAACTTATTCCCAAACAAAGTAAAACTTTAAAAGAAAAAACCGATTTTTATGTTTAAAGGAATTTATGATAAAATAAGATGCCTCGAGATTTTTGGGTTTTCTTTTTAGACTTCAAGGTACTTAGGGATTGGTATGGGATACTTCAGAATTTTTTTTTAACTTTTCAGAATTCTTCGTATCTTGCTGTTCAAGACCTTTTAAAATTCTTCGTTTTTGGGGATTTCTTCTGGAATATTCGGGGTTTGCTTCGAGGTTTTTTCGAGACTTTCGCAATTTTTCGTAGCCATCTTCACATTCCTCATAGTTGTAGATGTCTCTCTTCGTTCGGCTTTATCGGGCTGTATCCAAGACCTTTTTCATTTGGGATTATCCTATTTGATGCATTTTTCATCTCCAGTGACCATCCCATGCAAAACAATTTTACCTGGTTCGTCTTTAAAACGAGGGGATTTTTCGAATCCCGCTGTTTGGTACCAAACCTTTCACTTTCTATCGGCTACAAAATAATACTTTAACCTAAATAATAAGAATTCAATGTTTTGGCCACCCTTTAATTCAGCGAGTGGTGGTGGGATTTTTCCAGCAATGCTACAAAGAACTTTTGCCATGAATACGTTCGGTCACTCTTGGAGAGGCAGTGCTTTAATACTCCAGTGAGGTCAAAAATGTAGGGACAATGCTATTTAGATATGATACTTAGTTGGAACCCCATCTTGAAAAACTGGCGTCTTGGAAGAGCGTGGGGATCGAACTCAGGGCTGATGGGGTCGCTGGAAACTAGAAAAAAACTGTCATACTACGTCTCAACGAGCTGAAAATATTGGCATGTCTATCTGAAACTGAATCAATGAGAACTGGCTCAACTGCAGCTCTAGACTCGCTTTGAGAATGGACTTCTCATCATATTTTTATTCTATCAACAGCAGCTATGAGAGAGCTGCGGTTTCGACTCTCTTACTATTGCTTCTGTACAAGGAAGCTTCATGCAAGCATTCTTTTGGAAGATATAAATAAGTGAGAATCCCACATCGCCAAGATTGGACAATTGGCATGATAAAAATCGTTAAGTGTATTTTCAGGGTCGCAGTTTCTCCTCTTCAAGAACTATAAGAACGCAGTAAGAACGGGGGTGTAGTGGACGGCCGTAAACATGCCAGGCTTTTCGGCTATCCTTTTAATGGAAAGAATAGTATTCTGTTTAATATAAATGGCATAAAGCCACTCTCTGGGTATCCAACTGGTCACAAAAGACTACGATTTCACATGCAACGAATAAATGTGCAAGCAGAGTTGGAATGCCGACTCTGGCTTGAGGATGAAGAGACTTTGGAACACATTTTTTGCGACTCTCTGATCTGATCTAACTCTTTGTCATAAATAATTTGCCTATATACTAATGTCATTTTACAATGCCTTGAGGAAGGCGCATGTATCTTGGGCATACTGGGTTAGGGACTCTCTTTCGATCTGTTTTCTGCTACACCCAAACACTTAACTTACCAGCAATACATGTTTTTGTCAACACTGCAATTAATTTTATATTTAAGCCAACTGTTACAAAACAATTTTTCATGCATTTTCATGCTAGGTATGTATTTATGTGTGTTTGTACGTATGCCGAGGTAGTTAAGTACTACTACAACAACAACATAAAAACAATGTCAAACCAGCGCGATGAAAATTGAAACACGTCGTCTCATTGCTTAAACAGCCGAGGATTTTGTTGTTTATTTTACTTTGTTTTATAAATTTATTTACAGAAAAAGTATGTAGCTTACTGCGGTGGA